TTTGTGTTTAACCTCTTATGCTGGACATATCTCTTCAGTTGCCTTTTCTAAAGCTGATTTGAGCTGATAACTAGGACATTTAATCAGAAAAATTGTCAGACATCCCAGTTTACATCCACTGTCCCTCAGGTCCAACATTCTGCCATTAGAACTTTGAGATGCAATTCAAAGCCTGGAAATTCATTTATTCAACAAATACTTATTATGATTACTATGTTCTAACTACTGTATTGTGTGTCATCCTCATGCCTTTATAAAACTCTTAGGCATATACCTGTTAAGTAGTCAGTTCTTTTATGTTTTCTAGTGGCAGTTGGGATCAGTAACTAAAGAGCCAAGAGATATTTTCATTCATTCATTCATTTAATTTGGGCCTTGAATCTTACCCTTGTTGCCCTTTACACCTCTACATAAGACAGCCTGTCCATCCTTGGATGTTGTTGTAGTAAACAGAAAGCCATCAGGATTTTAGACTCAGCAACACCAAAAAATGTCTTGAGTTTTGATTTATATTAAATATGATCAGATGTCTTACGTTGCTTTATAAAATAGTAGTATTCTTTGGAATACTAAAAGTTAATGATTAAAAGTGGACTCTGTGATGCTTTTCCCCCAAAATGTATAACTTTAACCTAATCATGTCCTAATGGGCATATTCAAATTGAGGAACATTTTATAAAATATCTACCCATGAATTTGTATGTATCAATCAAAGTCATGGGAAACAAGGGAAGGCTGAAAAGCTCGCAGGTTAGAGAAAAGTGTGTATCTTGGCTAGAAATTTGGAAAACAGAAGAGAAAATGGAAAACCTGGTAGAAGACAGACACTGTGTGCAATTCAGTTAACAAGATGTATTGATGTCAGTTTCATAGTTTTGACAAATGTCTGGTGGTTATGCAAGATATCAACATTAGGAGAAAGTGAGTGAAGAGTCCAGAGGAACTCTGTCTATATGTACACTCTTTGCACACCTAAAATTATTTCATAATAGTTAAAAAAACATGTCGCAAGTAGCACAGCGAGATGGAATACAGGTAGTAGCTCCAAAAACTACTGGAAGATACCACCCCGGGTCATGCTCCATTCTGAGAACTATATCAGCTTCTCTATGGATTCCATTGAAGAAATCACTCATAGACAGCAAGTGGTGTCTGCAAGACACCTGGTAAACTAAAGCTGCATGCATATGGCCTGAGGATGGCTTCCAATGCACCAGCTCTGGGTTGGAAGGAAAATGTGTTTTTTTATTAGTTCTATTTCTAAGTGATCAATTAATGAATTCAACAAGCATTCCCTGACATCTGAAAGATCTCAGTCAGTAAATTTTAAGCTGTAGCTACAAATATCTGTTACACATAGTTGTTACTTCCAAGGATCTCACAGTCTGTTGGAGGAAAGAGATCTACCTGATCAATACAGTTGCTTTCTTTTCTTTCTTATCATTTCTAAATTGTATTTATTTGTAAATCAAAGTTACAGAAACAAAAGGAGAAATAGATAGAGATCTTCAATGTGCTAGTCCACATTCCAGATGGCTGCAGTGGCCAGGCCTGAACCAAGACAAAGCCAAGAATCAGGAGCTATAACTGGGTCTCCAAGATGAGTGACTGGGAGCCAAACACTTGGGCCATTTGTGCTGCTCTCCCAAGGCTATTAACAGTAAGCTGGATTGGAAATGAAACAGCTGGGATATGAAGTGGCACCTATAATGGCAGGCATTTCAGGCAGTAGCTTTACCAACTATGCCACAATGCCAATCCTTACACAGTTATTTTCTGAGTTCCTGCTCTATGCTAGGCAGTATTCCTGGTGCCTAAAACATAGCAGTGACAAAACAAAACCAAACCAAACAAAAACCACACAAACAAAAAATTTGTGCCTAAGCAGTTTGCATTCTATTAAGAATGGTTTTGGAGTGTGCAAGCGTGTGTGTGTGTGTGCAAAGCAAGCACACCGGGCAGGAGGTGGTGGTGGTGCAGAGTAGATAATTTACTACCAGGAAACTATGTTAGTAAGCTATGAATCTTCTTATTCAAACTGTGGTTTACCTCTGCTGGTGAACATTGGAGGCAATTGTGGCTGACTTACTCCGAGATAAATATGGAGAGACACAATGTGGTAGAATTGTGTTAATACACCCTCGAAAGGATGTCTGTTGGCCAAAAGCAATTCAGTCTTGCCCTAGGAAGGAGACTTGTGGACTGATTGGAACTTGGGAATTTGTTATTTTTGAAGATCATGTTAAGTGGCTTTTTCCACAGGCTAATGAACCCCACATTACTCTAACCATGACCAGCTGCATTCTCTGTTAATTCAAAATCCTCAGTAACATTTTATTCTTTTTCTAGTATATCTTACAGAAGTCTCAGTGGTGTCCCTTGGTTGTTCATTCTAAGAAATTGTTTTCTTTGATATTTATTCTTGTTTTTTTTTCAAGTATGCAATGATATTAACTTCTAACAATGCATAGTATGTTTTGTCAACCTATTAACAGTTGTTATTCATTGCAGTTTTCATGTTATATTTTATTATTTTACAGGTCATGCAACTTACTGCTTTCCTCTTAAAGACTTTCTTTCAAATTATTTTCATATTTACAATAAGAGAAAAATAATTTATGAAACATGTTGGTTTTTTTGTTGAAAAGCAGAATTGCTGGGCCCGGTGCTGTGGCACAGTGGTTAACGTCCTCGCCTTGCATGCCCGGGATCCCATATGGGCCCCGGTTCTAATCCCCGGAGCCCCACTTCCCATCCAGCTCCCTGCCTGTGGCCCTGGAAAGCAGTCGAGGACGGCCCAAAGCTTTGGGACCCTGCACCCACGTAGGAGACCCGGAAGAGGCTCCTGGCTTCGGATGGCCATAGCGTTGGCCGTTGCTCTCACTTGGGGAGTGAATCATCAGACGGAAGATCTTCCTCTCTGTTTCTCCTCTCTGTATATCTGCCTTTCCAATAAAAAATAATAAAAAATAAATCTTTAAAAAAAAAAGAAAAGCAGAATTGCTGAGAGAAGGAGCAACAGAGAAAGAAAAGAGATGAGAAAGAGGGAAGGAGCAAGGGAGGAAGGGAGAGAGAGAGAGAGAGATCTTTCATCTGTTGGTTCACTCCTGGAATGGTTGCAATGTCAGAGCTGGTCCTCTCCAAAGCCAGGAGCCAGGAGCCAGCCAGGAGATTCTTCTGTGTCTCCCGTATGGGTGCAGGGATCCAAGGATGTGACCCATTATCTGATGCTTTCCCAGGTCAAAAGTAGGAAGCTGGATTGGAAGTAGAGCTGCAAGTACTCAAACTGGCACCCATATTGATGCTAGCACTACAGGCTGTCTTAGCCTGTTATACAACAGTGCTGGTCCTGAAACACTCTTGATGTATGATAATTACATAAAAAAGGAATTATTATTTTGGATGAACACAGCCTGTCTGAATGGTTGTTGGGCTACATAATGAAGGCTAAATTGGAGTAAATTGTGATGTTTATGATTCAGTTATGTAGCTGGCTTTGTGACACAATATGTTAAGCCACTACTTATGACACCAACATTTATATCAGGTTATCAGTTAAAAACCTGGCTGCTCTGGTTCTGATCCGTACTTGTGTTAATGCACCTGCATTGGATAATGGCCCAAGTACTAGAGTGCCTGCTACCCTCATAAGAGATATGATTGGAGTCCCAAGTTCCTGGATTCGTTCTGGCTCAGCCTTGGTTATTGAAGCCATTTGGGAACTAAACCAGAAATCTTAAGTGTCTCTCTCTGTCTGCTTTTTTGAATAGTTAAATAAAAGGACAAGCTTTTAAAAAGCCAAGTAAGCTAAAAACAAAAGGAATAAAATAAAATTAATTGATATATAGGTATTATTTCAAAGCTTTGTAAACAGAACAAATATACTTTTTTGGACAAAAATTATTCATATTGTAACTTGTTTAGTTTTCTTTGATCTTTATTAATTTCGTAAGATGTTCTAAGAAACATGGTTTTCAATTTCACAAATCAAGCATGACTCATTATCATGCATTTTCTTGAATCTGTATTTCAACACTGTTGAAATAAGTAATAACTTTTTGAACTCTGAGTATGACATAATAGAAAAAACTCCTGAATTTAGTTGATTGGCCGTCTTCATGTTCAAAAACTTGAGTTCACACTGGAAGTGTTTTGAAAGTAGGGATAGCAGTGGACTAAATGGGAAGTACAGTGTGTTTTCTTGATGTTTTTCTTACTCTAGTTTTAAACTTCTTTCTCCATTTCCAACTCAGAAATTTAACAACTCAGGCAAATCTAGTTGAATAGTTATCTTAGGCTTGTGTTGGTCTGTTTCTCCAATCTCTATGTAAACTCCAAGATACTGAGTTCTATACATATATTGTTAATACTAATATATATAATGGTGTATATATATATATATATATTCTCTACCATTATATATATAACACGCACACATACATATGTGTGTGTGTGTGTGTGTTTGTATCTATATATTCTCTACCATTATATGGTAGACAAGAGAACGCTTGTCTAGAAGTCTGGGAAAAGTTTTAAAGAGATTTTAAAAATCAACAATGCTTCAACTATAGTTTGCTGTTCTGTTATGTTCTTTGTTGTGTTTTGAGAAACAGACACTAAGGTGGGATTGGGAGTGGTAAAAGATTTATTGGGGGAAATATGTGTTTAAAAAACAGGTGGGGAAGGAGACAAAAAAAGTGGAAAAAGAAGCTAGGTGGAATGTCATGTAGATCTGATACCTGTGAGCAGGATGAGGATGAAAGGAGGGGTTGTTAGCAGACAGAGTCACAGATTAAGTTCTAGAAAAGTTGGATGATGACAGGTGGTCCTTGAGCCAAAGCTACTCACTGAAGGAATGCTCTCTCTTTTAGGATTAAGCTGTCCTCCAACATAGCAAGTCATTGTCTGGGAGACTGACTCTAGCATGAACAAATGAAGGGTAGAGTAAATCTAGAAGGGCATCAGTGGTTGATGACTTAAGCTGATTTTGCTTTCCGCAGCACAAGATCTCAGAACCACATATCCTTGATCATCACATCGGCAAAACTCATGGAATGCTCCAAAAGTAAGTGTATTCATGCTTACACTCATGGGCAGTTACAGAGTTAGAGTGCATGCTATTTCATGGTGTTCTTGCATACGTGTTGCACTAAGACTACTTAAAGTGTATTTCTGACTTTTATTTTAATGACAAATCAATAATTTAAAATAGAGAAAGTGGAAAATAAAAAAAAATATTCTAGGATAAATTCACTTTTAAATTTGTATTTAAATTTTATGGGCACTCATGCAGAAGAAATTAAATGTACTTTGCTTTTCAACATGAATCTTCCCATACTTTAATTTTTTTAGTAAGGAAATGGCCCTTGTTTCTTTTTTAGTTCCTGGTTTTATAGAATTCACTAAATCATTCAGTGAAGATGTGTTGAGTACCTACAAAATGCCAGGACTTGTTGGGTTAGTGTTTGACTTTCTTTATCAATGTACAAGGAAATAATACCAATTTAGCATGGTTTTGGAAGATATGGGACATTATGAGCTAGTTGAACCCAAATTATGTAGTTACTTCAAAAGTTGCAATAATAGGGCTGAATGTTTTGACTAGTGGAGACCCAAAGGACTATCAAAGACAGAGCTTGACTCACAAACACTGGGAATAAGAGTTTGTGAAAGAGAAACTGAATGTCTGCATTTAGTTCTTTCTTTAAAAAAATTAAATATAAATTTACAAAGTAATTTACTTCTGGATAAATTTCCTGGATTTTGTTTTCTGCCTCACTGACTCTACTGCTCTAAATTATTGAGTTGCCATTAAAGTCAGGAATACATTTAAGATAGGTTCAGTGAGATGTTTTTATGCATGAATGTCGTGAAAATCATGTACTGCCTAAGTTTACAAGGAGATAACATATAATTTTTTCCAGCAAAGAGCTTTGCTGAATTATTTAATTCAGTTGCAATTTTATTGATTTTTTTCTTTAATGTATTCTTACACTGTGATAAACATGCAAACCATTTTTAGAATTTATATCTAGTACAGACCCGTATATTATGTTAATTGGCAAAATATGCATGAGTCTTAACAGTTTATAGAAATTTGATTGGGGGTGGAAAGGACATGAAAAAGAGACATAGAGAAAAATCAAGAGAAATAGGACCATATCTTATTTATTTCATTGTTGTCCTTGCTTGAAGTATCATTCATTAATTCAGTTAAAGTTCTCACAAGGTTAATTTAGATTGTTGAACATGATGTCAGTCAATCAAATCCAGAAAGCATTGTCATGCTGCTAGGCACTCAATCTGGGTCTCCCAAATGGGTGGTAGATATGCAAATACTTGGGCCATCATCTGATGCCTCCCTGGTGCTTTAACAGGAAGTTAGATTGGAAATGTGGAGAAGCTAGAACAAAGCCAGGAACCTCAACATGGGATTCTGGTGTCCCAAGTGGCAGTTTAATCAGCCATCCGACAACACATGTCCCCATTTTGTTCTTTTCAAGAAGGCCTGCCCATAAAGCAAAGCAAAACAAAACGAAACAAAACAAACCTGGTTAAGCAGGGTCTAAATTGCTGAGATTTATCAGTGCCTAACTCACCCAAGGAAAGGGAAATGTCCAACTCGCAGCATTTCTAGCCAGTCTCTCTTACATAACCATGAGGAAAATATCTGAGGAACAAGACTAATATCTAGGGTTTGGCATGATGGCCTAGTGGCTAAATCCTTGCCTTGTAATCACTGGGATCCCGTATGGGTACTGGTTCTAATCCTGCTAGTCCTGCTTCCTAGCTAGCTTCCTCTTGTGGCCTGGGGAAGCAGCAGAGGATGACCCAAAGCTTTGGGAACCTGTACTTATGTAGGAGACCTGAAAGAAGCTCCTGGCTCCTGGCTTTGGATGGGCTCAGCTCTGGCTGTTGTATGGAGAGTGAACCAGTGGACAGAAGATCATTTTCTCTGTTTCTCCTTCTCTTTATATATCTGACTCTCTCCCCACCCCTGCCAAAAAAAAAAAAATCTTAAAAAAAAGGTTTTATATATATTACAGGGTATAGAATGCTTTTATTTCCTGCATACTTTATGCCACATCCCCAGGTCCATGTACAATGACCCTTATCACCTGGGACCTCACATTCAGCTATCAGGAATAAAATTAGAGTGCATACCAAGAGGTAAAAAATAACATTTGAAAAGAATAAACAGGCATCAGAACCAGACATGGCATACATGATAGAATTATTAGAGTTGGGATTTAAAATATCTATCTTTAAATGCTAGGAACGCCAGTGGATAAATTACACACGCAAGAACAGATGGGTGGTGTAAGCAGAGAAATGAAAATCCTAAGAAAGAACCCAAAGAAATGCCAGACACAAAACATATTGTAACAAAAATGAAGAATTATGGTTTATTAGTAGAATGATGGTTTATTATTAGCTGAGGAAAGAATCTCATATCTTTAGACTATCTCAGTACAATTCTAAAAAAAAAAAAAAAAAAAACAAAAGAAGAACCAAGCAAACAAATGAAAAAAAAAAACCCAAAATTCAATAATCATGGGACAATTACATCAATTGTGAGATTTTTGCATTGGGAATGGCAGAGGAGAAGAGGAAGGAACAAAAGACATATTTGAAACAATTATGACTGCAAATTTCCCCTAATTAACATCATCAAACCCAGACTCAGGAAGCTCAGAAAAGGCCAAGCAGGATAAATGGCAAATAAACCAAACACAAATGAAAAATTAAACACAGGTGAATCATTTCAATCCACAGAAAATTAAAGAATAAATCCTGAGAGGAAGCCAGGTGAGAGAAAAGTATTACCCATTAATAAGAATAAAAATAAGAGTTATATCAGTGTTCTCAGAAACCATGCAAGCAAGAAGATTGCAGAACAGAATATGTAAAACATTGAGGGCATGCAAAAAAATCCCACTATCTTAGATTTTTGTAATCAGCAAATTTATTGTCAAAAGTGCAGGAGAAAAAAAGACTTTCTCAAACAAAAATTGAGCTTTTAAATTTCAGTTTTAAATTTCTTGCCAGTAGGATTATCTTGTCAGAAGCATTAAAGATTTGAAAAATGGACTCCCAATAAAACTGCTAAATATATCACAACAATAGGATGTTGGACTCTACCATTATCTGTACCTAAAATGTTACAACACACTTAAATAGAATGATGCACTTACGACTATCACTGAAGTACTATAGTATTGTAATAACATTGGGGAAAGCAGCTGGTAGGGGGAGATAGATGAGAAGGATGGAAAGGGAAATCCCTGAGCCTATGGAACTGTATCATGAAAAATAAAAACTAAAAAAATAATATTTGCAAGAAAATGATCCCTACTGTAGATCATTATGCCTATTGAAATAAAGCCAGTCCCAAATGGACAAATATCATGTTCCCACTGATGAAAGACAGCTTAATGCAAAATAGATAGACATGTGAGTATTCAAGTATATACATACATTATCATAGATGAACTGTATGATGGAGATTAACATATCGGGAAGTGGAGATACATTGCAATACATGTCCCTACCTCTGAATAAAGAAGACTCCCAATGAAGCAGTTACATATAAATATAAAATTGTGATGTGGGCTGATATTGGGTGGCTTTCCCCATTGCTGGTTAATGGGGCAGCTGGGAGGCCGGGTATACCTTTTCTCCCCTTACATACCCATTCCCCCAGATACAGGAGGAAGAAACAGGACATTTGGAAAAAATGACCATATCCACTTTTCTCTGACCTTCAGTCCTTCCTACCCTGATCAGCCATGTAATTTATGTAAACATCATCAAAAATAAAAACAATTTTAAAATGGTTTATAGACATTAACAATCACTTGCTAAAGATATACAGGTGGCATATAAGCAAATGGAAGATACTCTACATTAGATGAAATCACAGAAATGTGAATTAAAATGATAGACACCAATAGAATGCCCCAAGTCTGGAAAGTTAACAACAAAGTGCTTGTTAGAATGTGGAGTAGCAGGAATATTCATTGACTGTTATGAGAATGCAAAATGACAGATACTTTGGAAGACAGTTTGGTGCTTTATCACAAAACCATACGTTTTCTCACCATCACTGCAGTACTCCTCCTTGGCACTTTTCCAAAAGTTAAAATTTACCACATGGATGTTTACAGTAGCTTGTTTATAATTTTTAAGAATTAGAAGCAAATAGATTGCATTTGGTAGGTGAACAAATAAATGAACTACGATATATTTAGATGGTGGAATGCTACTTAGAGCTGAATAGAAATGAACTCTCAAGCCATGAAAAAATATGCAGTAACCTTAAACATATGTTACTGTGTGAAAACAACTAATCTGAATTCTATTCTGGTTCTAAATACAAATGGCCTCTGTACAATGATTTTTTGACTTCATATTGGAGTGAAAGTGACATGGGTTCACTAGAAACTGCACTTTGAGTTTTTATATTTTCATGGACTAAAATATGCAATGGGACACTCTCCTGAGTTGTTGAGCAATGGCAGGAAGTCACAGGTCTCAGCCATCCATGTGATCAAAGGAGGAAGAAACCAATAGATGAGCTGTGATGTCCTGCGTTGTTATGCTCCATGCTGAGTAGATTAGGTATAATAAACGCATTTTAATCTAAACATATTTTCAGTTTGTGGTAAGTTACCAGAATATAATCACATTGCAAGTTGAGGAGCATCTGAGCTAACATTGTAGAAAGCACAATGGAAACAGTAAAATAATCTGTGGTTGGCTGGAGTCTGGGGTAGCAGGAAAGATTAGGTGGAATACTCTTAAGGCATAGAAAATACTGTGTATAATGTATACACATAGTTGGATACATATCATTATGCACTGTTCTCACCAAATGTATATATAAAGTGCAAAGTGAAGCCTACAGAAGACTATGTACTTTGGATAATTATGACATACCAGGATAGGCTCATCAACTCCAACAATAAAGAACTCTTGCTGGGATGTTGGCAACGGGGAAGATTATGCATGTGTGGGAACAAGGGGCACATGAGAAAAATCTATCTTTCTTTTAGTTTTATTGTGACTCCAAAACTTTGTTAAATAAAATATAAGAAAAAAAAACAGTAACATGTTCTCTTTTAGCAGAGCACAAAAACAAGGTAAGTCACTTTATGATAATATATTTGGTTACATTTATATTTCCTACACTTAAACAGCTTTCAAATAATGATAGAAATTAGCTTTTAAAACTACTGTTAGTTTTAATAACTTCACTAGATTTTACTGTGTCTAATGTGTCAACCTCTTTTTAATGTTCCAAATTCAACGCTATTCAAGGAACAAAGTGAGCGTTTCTTGTAAATGCTATGCATATTCTTATGCACACAAATGGTGAAATTGCATTGCTGGAATTAATGTAACATATGCATAAATGTGCATGCTTACACAATGAACAAATGCTACTGTTAATTTTTGAGGATAACTTACCATGCAGTTTGCTTTACTGTCTGCTTCTAGTGAGATAATTAATTATGACTTGGTTATATATTGCTCTATTAATTTACTTGTGTTGGCAGTTTGACTTGTAAGTCTTTTAATGGCCTTTTAATAGTTTAGAAGCAAATATAAGTAACTTTGTGATTGGAATAGAAATTTGCTAAGATGTATTTCTGAATGAAATCAGCCAAGGTCAACAGAATGAAATAATTTCACCTCTGTGTATATGGTATATTTTTCCTGCCCCCTCTCTGTTTAAGAGTAGATCTTAGTATGAGACTCAGACCTTAACAGGCAACAGGTTTTTCACTCAGAAACCTTCCACTCTCTAACAGGAGAAGATCAGTGTTTATTTAGCATTGGTCAGAAGACTTGGCTCCTTGCATGAAGCTCTAGAACTGAACACTTGCAGTTGAATGAATGGATGTGGCAATCTGCAGACCGGTAAGCAAAACAGTGAGAAGAAAAATAATGAAAATTTATTGTTGAGTGCCACAGATATTTTGGCCGTGGTGAAGTAAGTGAAGTGTTTATTTAAATGCACTTTATGTTTTATTGGATCCTATGTGTAGTTGAAATTCCTTGCCCTTCATTTGAAGTAAGGAATGGCTATAATGTGCCTTAAGAATTAATTTAGGGATGAGCATTTTGTCTATTGGTTAAAACTCTGCCTAGACAGCTGCATCCTGTATCAGAGGGATTGAGCCCAGGCCTGGCACCTGGTTGCAACTTCCTGTTGCTAAAGAGCCTGGAAAGCAGCAGTGATGATTTCAGGGTATGGTCCCTGCAATCCATGTGGGAGACCTGGATTGAGTCCACAGCTCCTGGCTGTGGCTTGGCTCAGTCTCTGGTGGGCATTTGGTGAACAAGCCAGGGGATGGGTACTCCCTTTGTCTCTGTGTAGGTCTTCATTTTCTCATTTGTGGTCGCATGTGCACATGTTCAAAGGAACAGACATTCAAGCAGGCCTGCAGAGAAATGCTTTATTCAAAGACCAGAGGGCTCGTTCAGTCTCTGGAATGAGTGTAAAGGCAAAGCACTGGGGCTAGCTGTTTATCATCAGGCTCACGTAACAGCTATTCCTGTGTACGTTCAGGGAGAGGTAGACACGGGTTTGATACATAATTAGTTATTTTTTATCACATTCTCATAACAAGATACATATCTTTAATGTCCACCTAGGGTTCCACATTTCTCTGAAAACCTTCACAAGCTGGGATGTGGGCTTTCATGTCCAGTTGTGCACTCTATGTCAAGAATTTGCCTCAGTCTGTCTGTTGCTCAAATAAAAAAATAACCCACACAATGAATTCACTTCATTCTTTTAAATACATATGCTTTAGCTTTGCAATACTGCTTCATTGTTTTTCAGCTATATAGTGTGGAGACTAAGTTCTTTCTGGGTCAGGGTGGGTCAGGGTGGGTGGTGGGTCAGGGTGTCACCCAGGTACCCAGAGTTACATAACTTTCATATAACTATTTAATGATTGTAAAAACTGGTTCTTTTGGAGGTTACCACTAAATCTGTAAGGTGCTATATTGTTACCTTTTGATTTATTCAATATTGGCTGAGTCAGTGATACAAATAGAAAATGACTAGAGTTAGAATAACACCAAATCCCTTTCTGTTTTCTTCTCTAACTCTAATGATTATTGTTATAACTTTGCATAGGAATATTTTAATTCTTGATTCATTACCTTTATGTAGTATCTGTTGAGTTTACCTCATATTATGAGGAATTAGTCCCTTAATTCTAACTCTACCTCTTGTGTTGTCATCTAATTCCTTTCATTTTCAGCCCTTTCATAGAATAAGGAGTTATTTAATTTGAATCAATATATAACTATAATCAAGGCTTTTGTAATCCTTGACAATAGACTGAATCTAAAAATGGTAAACAAAAAACAGTATTTAAAGTAATTATAAAACATGAGATGCTAGTATCCAAATTATGCTATTTACCAGTAGCAAAGAAAAATCATAAAAATAATCATACATGCTTAAAATGGTGTTGTTCAAAATTCAGTGCTTTGTGATGAGGTCAAATGGGGTCTTTTCTATTGGAATGTGAATTACTGAAAATCAAGCCACATTTTTTTTTGTCACCTGAGTTTTTTATTGTCTCTCCTTTTCTTTATTGACAGAAGAAATCCATGTTTCAGAATCATGCTTGTTGAAAGGAATCCCCCTTGTTTCTTTAGATAGTTGTTTCCCAGACTCCTCTTCAGTTCCTTATAAATTTGAAACGCTAGATTCTTGTCTTCCTGAATAATTCCTATCCTGAATATTCATGCTTTTGTATCTATATTTATATGTATTAAATTTATAGTTCTTCTAAGCACATTTCTAGTAGTTGTGAAATACATAATCTAATAGATTTACGAAAATGTAGGTATGAAGTATTTTTCAGTTCTTGCATTCATCCAGTTCTTGACTAGGTTTAGAATTTTAGGTTTTAATTTTATGTTTTTTCAATGTTTCCTCTATTGTCTTTTAATACCGAGTTACTAATGCAAATGTTCTTTTCTTTAGTGTGTAAGTTATTTTCAAAGATTTGTTTATTTTTTGTTTCAAAGACAGACTCACAGACAGAAGGAGATACACAGAGAAATCTTCCCAACAAATATATTAGCTCCCCAACCCCCACCAAATGGCTGCGATGGCCAGATCTGCATCTGAAGCCAGAAACCAAGAGCTTCAGATGCAGGGACCCAAGGCTTGGGCCGTCTTCCATTGCCTTTCCAGGTCGCGAGCAGGGAGCTGGGCCAGAAGCCGAGCAGACGGGCTATGAACTTATGAACTGGCACCACAGCTACCACATTATGGAATGCTGGCACCACAGGCACAGGATCAGTCCAATACATATCATTACGCCGTCTTGTGTGTAAAACATTTTATTACCTTCCTTTAATCTTTGAGGTTTCCCTTTTCATGCCTCCTCTTGCGTCTTTTTAAAAATTTCATATTGAAGGGCCGGGCATAATGGCCTAGTGGCTAACGTCCTTGCCTTGAATGTACAAAGATCCCATATAGGCGCCGGTTCTAGTCACTGCAGCTCCACTTCCCAAGCAGTGGAATTGCTTGTGGCCTGAGAAAGAAGTTGAGGACAGCCCAAAGCCTTGAGACCCTGCACCTGCGTGGAAGACCTGGAGGTAGTTCCTGACTCCTGGTTTCGGATCGCAGTTGTGGTCACTTGGGGAGTGAATCATTAGATGAAGATCTTCCTCTCTGTCTCTCATCCTCTCTGTATATCTGACTTTTCAATAAAAATAAATAAATCTTAAAAATTTCATCATACTGAAACTCAAGCCTTTCAATGTGTATCTATGCTTTTATTCTATTATTCCCTAAATATTATCATTTTCCCATTTCTTCCACTTATAGTATGTCCCATCTCTATTTTTCTTAATTCTTTTTCTTTATGATTCAATCCTTACTGATCTATTCTCTCTTTTATTCTCTCCCTCCTTCCTCTCTCATTTCCCATTGCTTGCTTTCTGGGTTTAATTCTTACTAAATTATGTTGTACCTCTTGGGTCAATTCTCTATATATTATCTTTTTACTGTTTTATTTCTTTAAATTTTCTGATGTTTATTTTTCTTATCATTATTTGGCTCATGTGTTGTCTCCTTTGGTCTCCAGGTGTACACTGTGTGTTTGTCCTGCCTGAATTTTACATTTCCAAGAACTTTTTATTTTTGCTCTTCTTTTGAAACAACCTGATTATACCATATGGAAAAAGAATCACGTTAAAAGTATTATTATAATTTTACCAGTCAGTTTTCCTGAATTAATTCCTGCTTCCTATACTGTTAATTATTCTGCTGATTATGTTGACTATGTTAGGTATTTACCGTATATTACTGTCTTTGCTTTTCAATTCTATTAATGAATACAGAGCCAAATTGGCTAACAGAGGGCAATGGCATAGGTTTCTTCCTCAAAGATACTAATGGCTAAGATTTCAGATCACGGAGCAAGGCTTCCTAGTTTACTGATCCTGATAATGTGTGAGGGCTTGGGCTGATCACTCTATGTTTTCTGTGCTTTTTCTGTAAAATTGGAAGCACAATAATTGTACCTTCCCTGTGAAAATAATCAGCATATTAAAGTACCTATAACGGTGTCTGGTATATGGCTAGTGCTATACAAATATTACCTTTAATTAAATTTGTACAGTTTTTTTGCATTATGTAATTACTTTTTGGCTCTGTGAACAGTTCTAGCCACATATGAAAGGTTTTGGGGCATATGCTATGGCACAGTGGGTAAAGCCACCACCTGAGGTATCAGTACCAACTCATGTTCTGGCTGCACTACTTTTGATCCAGCTCCCTGTTAGTGCACCTGGGGAAGCAGTAGAGGATGGCCCAAATCTGTGGGATCCAGAAGAAGCTCCTGGCTACTGTGTTAAGAGGAGCCCACCTCCAGCTGTTGCAGTCATTTGGGGAAGCCAAGTAGCAGATGAGAGATATAGATAGTGAGAGCAACCAAGTAAGCTTAAAATAATTTTAGACACCTATGACAGTCATGAAGAAAATCAAGAATAAAGTATGATGAGAGTGTGGGATACAGAAAGTGTTATTATTAGTATTTTAATATTTATTCTTGAAATGGCAGAGTTACAGAGAGAGAGAAGGAGAGAGAGAGAGACAGAGAGAAAGAATGATTTTTCCTTTTGTTAGTTTACTCCTCAAATGCTCATAATGGCCAGAACTGGGCCTATCTGATACCAGGAAGTAGCAGTGTCTTCTCAGTCTCCTGTATGGGTACAGGCTCCCAAGAACTTGGGCCATCCTCAGCTGCTTTTAGGCCACAGTGGGGAGCTGGATGGGAAGTGAGCAGCCCGAACTTAAACTGTCATCCATAACTGATGCCACTGTTGCAAGTGTAGGCATTGCCTTCTATGCTAAAATACTGGCCCCAAGATTATTATTTTTGATAAATCCTTGAGACAAAAACTACTTAGCATGACATGCTGACAACTGGTGAAGAGTGGAATTTGAAAAGGGCAAGTATAAAAGCAGACAGAAATGGTATCAGGCTGTTGCAGGAGACCTGAGGAGAAGTGATACAAAATTCTTACAGACTTAGAATGGAAAACTGTTTGAAAGCAGGACCTTTAGTCTCTCCTGTTTCTCAGTATATGAAACAACCTGTCATATGATACATACTCAATAATTAGTGCTACGGTTGTGTGGGTGATCAGATTAGTACACCAGACTGCAGTAGTCTGATGACTGGTGTTCCTCCCAAATCCACACAATGAAATCTAATCCAGAGTTCCAAGTTGGTTTAAACTTTAGAGCTATGTCCTAATCCACTTAAGTGGCTGTAACAAAAATACCATAGACTGGTTGGCTTGAAGGCAACAACATTTTTATGGACTCTAGAAGTTCAAAATCAAGTACCAGCAGATTCAATGTCTTGTAAGGGCCCAGCTCTCATAGACAATGCTTTTGTGTCTCCACGTGGCTTAAGGGAAAAATAAGCTCTCATATATTAATTCCATTCAGAACTTTCATTGAACTTAGAATTCTGGAATAAGAAGCAAAAGTGTAATTTTAAGAAGTAAGGGAGCAAGAAGTAAAATATTTTACACGAGGAATGAGAATTAAAGACTGTCCAGTTGTGCTGGGTCTTGTTCACCAAAATGATGTTCATATTTGGTTGTAACTGTAATGGGGAGTGTGTGTTGAACTATGCCATGGTTTGACTCATAATTTTCAAAAGATCATTACTTTGCATGAATAATGGATTTTACAAGGAACAAGAATGGAAAAAGAAGTCATAGGAGTCCTGATGAGTGATGGGAGTAGCCTGTACTAGTTATTCCCAGCAGAGGGTATAAGGATGGTTTGAATCAGGATTTAAAGTGAAAACATAGATAGTTGCTAGAACATGTGAGAGAGTTGCAGTAGAAACTATAGAATTTAGGGGGACTTCTATAATTTGGGGGCTGAGTATACATATGTGTACAGTAGTCATGGAGAAATTTAGAAATAATCATGTTTGGATAAAGAGAGGACAGTCTGCTCTGATAAGTCCATTAGATATCCACATAGGCATGCCAAGTGGATAGTAGCTATTTGAACCAAGAGCTAAGGGAGGAAGACATCTTTGGAAAATAAAAATTTGGTTGTCTTTGTAAAGATAGTATTTAAAAACATGAAGTTATCTAATACATTGGGTTGAGTGGAGCAGAGGTCAAGAACAGAAACATTGGCGTCTTCTAAGTGAGAGACAAAAATATGCCCCCAGGGCTCTATATCCTTAGAGAGTATCTTTTCCTAAGTTTCACAAAGGTACAAAATGATAAGCATTCTGAATATGACCACACCTGTCTTAGCCTTCTAAAATTTATCAAAATGACAAGTGTTCA